AAGTCCACCCATCTTAAAGTTGCTGAGGTTGAGGAACCCTGCTCTAGTGCACTGATGGACATAAAAACCCTTTATTCTTTGTAACATCAAGGTTAAGTTTGTACTAGTACCAGACACTCCAAAATGGTTTGGGTCTGGTCATCTTGGTTCAAGTTGCCATCTGCTTAAAAGTCTAGCCTTGGGCAGGGGGAATCTCTTGTTATACATCATCCAGACCACAAGGGAAGGAGAGCCCCTCCCCATGGCAATTTTTTCATATGCTTTGGGAGAACTTTTCCCCTAGGGGAACAGCCACCCACAGATGGACCAGGACGCAGGTGGAGTTGGTAGAAGAATGGAATTCCCAGATAGAGACCTGCTGAATCCCTGTTTTCAGATGAATGAAGGAATAACCCTCTTTTTTCCTTCCTCGCAGGAGACCACCATGTTGTCCAGCTCCAGCTGAAATCCAAAGAAACAGGCATGACTTTTGCCAGCACCAGCTTTGTTTTCTACAATTGCAGTGTCCACACCTCGTAAGTTCATGCTTCTCTTCTGGGCATGGATCCTTTTTTTTTTGACGGTTCGCCATTAGTGAATCAGCTGATTCTGATTGCAGCATTAGTTTCCAGGATTTATGGCTCAGGACTTAGGAAATACTGCAGTCAGGGTCAGCTCTGATTCACTAATGATAGAACGACTTCTTGAGATGACCACTTACTGTCCACACCATTTTCCCAAGTCCTGAGCTATAAGCCCTGGAAGCTGATGCCCCATTTTCATAAGCTCAGGTTCAGGAATTGAACCTAGGATTCTGAGAGCCATAGATGGGGTTCCACCTATGAATTCTTGCTCCTTCTTCAGAAGATGAACACATAAACTGCTTTGAACTATCCGAGATCAAAGATGGAGCTCAAAGATTGTTAGTCTTTAAGATTCAGTGTTACCTATGGTTACCTAGTCACTGACCATAATAAAGTTTGTCCTGCTCTGTGGTTACCCCTGGCTTGGGGCAGCATGCCTCCAGGTACCTGTGGCAGAGGAGCAATGGTGGAGGAAGGCTGTATCTCCATCTCCTGCTTGCAAGCATCTCAGGGGTTTCTGGTTGGCCATGGAGAGACGCAAAATGCTGCTGTAAGATGGGCATATTGTTATGGAAAACCTAGTGCCCTCCAGATCTTTTGGACTGCAACTTCCATCATCCTGTGCTAACTGATGAGAGTTGTAGTGCACAACATCTGGAAGACCAGAGGTCTCTCAGTTCTACTGTTGGTCATCAAGCCCAATGTGAAAGCCTAGTTTTGGGTGACAATAATTCTTTAGGTTCTCTGTCTTCTCTAGCACAAGAATGTTGGAACTGAAATTGATATAACTATCATAACACCATCCTGCCAAATGCTACAGTTCCCTGCTGAGTGAGTGCCTCTGGTGTCTTTAAAAGCTCACTTTATTAAGTTGATCTGCACTGGGTTTTCTGCTCCAGGTATATCAAGAAGATCACGTTGCTTCATTTTAATCATTCACCGGCCGTGCCAAATCTTATTTCCATCTTTCTGTGGGCTTGAAAAAACAGGAGAGCAGGTGGAATCATGGAATGGGGAAGGGGAAGAGAAAGCAGGACTGAGATCCTGGGGAATATTGATGGTGGGGTTTGCCTTCAGATTTGACAAACTATAAAACACTCTCGATTTACCAGAAGGGAAGCTTGTTATCCATTTAAAGAACAGCAGAGGCTTGTTGGTTTGAAACAAGAAAGATTTCGCCAGGAGCAGGAGAAAGAAGAGTTGCAATGGGCCTACATTTGCATTAGGAATAGAAACACAGTAAGAAAGAAGAAAAAAGCCAGGGAATTCCCAGGACTTTTGGTTTCTCTTAATGGCTAAGTTCACACAACCTATTTAACCAGGCTAGGAAAATATCTGACGGCTGCATGTATGAAATACGCATAGCTTTTTGTTGTTGCTCTTGTTAGTTGCGGTTAGCATTTCTGTTTGCTTAGTTTGCAGTTCATTGGACGGTGCAGACCAGAAAATGGGTTAATTCCAGAATCAAGTGGGTTAAATGAATGCACATTCACACAGCTCAGGTGACGTAGCCAACACCTCGCCAATCTATAGGTTCAGCTTCATATCTTGGCCATCCATAATACAGGATGCCAGGGACCATAAGCAGGGACCACTGTTTTAGTCAAAGGTGGCTAAGTTTATGTCAATTTGTTCCCTGCTTCCTACCTTTTTAAGCATTTCTCATTTCCAGAGGGAGGAAAAAGATAGAAATCCATGAAGGCATGATTGGATTTGACACCCTCACAAACTCCTTGGATATTCTCTCGGGCTTAGGAGTAGGAGAATTAGCTATATCCCCAGTGAACATTTAGTTGGACGGGGGAAGGACTCAGTTGACCTGGGAGGCCAAAAGTGATTTTTTCCAAGCACAATTCCCACCAAGTTGTCTTTAGCAAGATTTATTGAGATGAAAGGGACACGGTTACAAGAATTCCAGCAACTAATTGATTTCTGGTTTAGAAGCAATATCTCCCCCAGGTGCATTAGAGCAAAGATTTTTTCATTTTCTTTCTAACAGCCTTCCCATGATACAGCGGGAAGGTGGGTTTCTTCACTGATAACAAGGTCTCCAAAACCTTTATCAGTCTGGAAATTGATTCCTACAATTAGCTTAGCCCCAAACATGCCTCTGAGTCTGTTTGGGCCTGCATCTGAACTTCCCAGGTTAGATAAGTAGGCCTTTTGTGTACTTCACAGAATTTGCAGAACACACCCACCTCCCCACCTCCCCATGGCCCTGCTAAGGACACCTGAACAGAGCATACATATTTGATCAGGATGGAATTATTGTTCTTGAGGACTGTAACTCTGAATTGGAGGGGCAGGTGAGGTAATACAAGGGACAGGCCATTTGGAACTGCTACAAGAGCATGGATTGAACCCCAAAATCTGACCTTATCCTCTGGCTTCTGGGCCCATAAACCCGAGCACTGCTTGAGGACTAGGATCCTGAAATGTGGGTTTGATCAGTGCTTTGAATTTTTTTTTTTTCCAGAGAATGGCACACGTGGTTTCCTTATGTTTCTTTTCTCTTCTAACCCGTTCAGGTGCCTCTCGTGTGTGGAGAGTCCGTACCGATGCTATTGGTGCAAATATCGTCATGTTTGCACCCATGAACCTCACAATTGCCACTTTCTAGAAGGACGAGTCAAACTTCCTGAGGTAGGAGGACAGAAGGGTGTTTCAGAGGTATCCTCTTGAGGGGAGCCTAAATAATCATAATCATAATCATAATCATAATCATAATCATAATCATAATCATAAT